ATATACATGTATGATGCATGACTTTTCTATCTAATTTATTAACTGTGGTATAGGTTATTATACTTGGCATTTACTGTATTAAACAGACATATCTCTCATGATCACCTTTGGAAGCTCATAAATCATCGAATTCCATTTACATCTCATTAATATACATTTAGAGAATGCCTCCAATTTCAGAGAGTTCATTTTCTTCACAAAATCTTTTTGAGCTTCTTTTAAGGCTATATCTGCCATGCTGACAGATTTCTCTAAAGAGATTTGGAGATTAAGTATCAAACAGTACTCGTGTGGGAGGTGAGTTCTTAGAATGATTTGGGTTCTAGAAGAAAAATAAAAATTTGTTTCCATCAGCTTTTTTTTTTAATAAACAGAACAAATTGCTTTAAAGAATCTTAACTTTCCTCATTGGTAATTGTGTTTTTCACTCTCTAACTATACTAGTGATATTATTTTGGAATACTTTGCTGTATCCAATTTGAGCTTCTGTACTGGTAGAAAGCTCAGTGTGTGTGTGTGTGTGTGTGTGTGTGTGTGTGTGTGTGTGTTGGTTGGTTGAAAAAAAAAGCATTGATTTTTCCGTTCTGATAGATGAATTTATTAACATTTTAATCTTTATTATTTATTAGGCAAAATTGTTTTGGTGGGCAATACTTTGTGGTAGATCCTTAACTTGTGTCTTACTGCCTTATTGGCTATGAACCGTATACTCTGATACCTGAGAAAACAAAGCATCATTCCACTGGCACTTATGCTCGTATATTCCAGTTTTATTGATTTATTCATTTATTGTGCTTTTATAAGTTTTCCTGTAGCCCTAGTTAGCCTTGATCTCACTGTGTAGACCAGGCTGGCCTCAATCTCACAGAGATTCATCTGTCTCTGCCTCTCCCAAGAGCTGGGATTAAAGATGTGTGCCACCGTGCCTGGCATATATTTCAGTTTTTAAGTCACTCACAGAGTTTATCAAGTTTCCAGATTTGCTGATACACTAGGAAGTTTCACAGAACTCAACATACAGTTGTATTTGTGCCTATAATTTATCACAGGAAAAGGATACAGTGCAAAAGCAGGAAAGAGAAAAGGCACTCAGGTTACAGTCTTTAGTAAACAGGCACAAAGCTTCTTAGAGTCATCTCCCTGGGAAGTTGCACAGGATGTACTTAATTTTGCCCGCTGTAATGTGTGACAGTTGCCCACTTGGAAAGCTGACTGGAACCCAGGAGTCTAGGGTTTTATATCAAAGGTTGGTTCTGTAACCACCTAGTAGCTATGTAATTGACTATACTTACCAAAATTCTAGTGTTGGGATATAATCAAGTATTTAGTATTGGTATAGTTTTGATCTTAAATGGCCTCCCAAAGTTCCATATGTTAAGGCTTGATCAGTCTCTAAAGAGGTGCTGTTGGGAGGCTGTGGAAGCTTTAAGAAGGGGGGCTGCATTAGTTTCTTTTCTGTTGCTGTGAACCAACACTATGACCAAGGCAACTTATAGAAAGAAGAGTTTATTTGGCTTATGGTTCCAGAGAGGTAAGAGTCCATCATGACCAGGAGGCGTGGCAGCAGAGGTGGGCAGAGCAGAAAGCTGAGCACGCACATCTTCAAGCAGGCACAGGAAGCAGAGAGAAGCTGTAAATCTGGCAAGGCTTAAGAACTCCCAAAGCCCACCCCCCAGTGACATACTTCCTCCAGCATGGCCATACCTCCTAAAGGTTCCAAGACACTCCCCAAACAGTGCCAGGAACTGGGGACCAAAAGTGTTCAAATATTTGGAGCCTATGGGGAACATTCTCATTCAAACCACCACAGGGGCCTACTGGGAGGTCTCTAGGTCATTGGGTATGTGTCCTCAAAAGAGATGTTGGAACTCCACTCTCTTCCTGTCTATCTTTAGTTCCCTAGTAGCTAACAGTTTTGCTCTGTCAAGCCCCACTGCCAGGATATGCTGCTTTACTACAGGCTCAAACACAATAGGACCATCTGAAGCCTCTGAAATTGTGGGCCAAGTGAAACATTTCTCAGTATAAGTTGGTCATTTAAAGTATTTGTTATGGTTACAGAAAGCTTCTTTACACAACGATAACATCGTGTACACAGTGCATGTACAGTAAGACACAGTTTAGGGAACTGTTTGCTAGTCAAGCTTTCAAAAGCCAGTTCAGGGTCAGTCTTATAAGTCAGCTGGATTCTAACTTCTGGCCCACAATACTAACTCCTTTTTGCATGTAGATTTAAAGGTAAAGTGTTGAAAAATGAGAAGTTTTGGGGGTAGGGAGGCATCAGAAAACTTGAAGACAACAGAAACCAAAACCGTTAAAACAAGGAGACAATGTTTATGTAAAGTTCACTCAATTAAAAAATTACTAGGTTTCCTTATAGTTTGTTCCTAAAGATTTGATTTTTAGTTTATTGGGCATGACAGGAGCTAAATTATTAATAAAATAGAAGCTTATTTATTTTTGTTTTGCTGTGTATAATTTGTACAAAGTTTCCAAATCTCCAAAACATTATCAAATGTATCTTTTAAGGTGAAAGTAAAATACCAGGTTCTAATGAGATTATCTCAAAAGTTGTCCACCATGTGTTGTCAGTGCTCATGCTGGAAAGAAAAGTGTTCTCAATAATATGAAGATGCCAGTACAACTTTTCCTGGTGCACCATTTCTTACAAAACCACACGTGTTACATTCATAGACAGATTTGTAATTTGAAAGAAAAAGTTCTCTCAATAAAATTAATATTTTTACAAAGAGAAAAATGAGGTTTCTTGTTTGTATTTATTATGAGATGTATCTATATATTTATAAGTATGCAGCATATAATGCTTATGTAATACTTATGTATTATATATTTTTATTACAGGTTATGCTTTAAGTACAAATGATATCTCTGGAGATGTTGGAGGAAAATGGGACAGACTTGCTGTAGTTATTTTAACAGAGCTAGAATTAGAATTCTTTTTTGAGACAGGGTTTTCCTGTAGCCCTAGCTGGCCAGGCTATAGACCAGACTGGCCTTGATTTCACAGAGATCTGCCTGCTGCTGCCTCTGGAGTGCTGGGATGAAAGGCATGCACAACCACATCTGGGCTTTAACTAGAATTCCTCATGTTGAGGAGATGCTAATCAAAGCTGCCACCTCAGCTAGCTGTAATGAAGTATGGGGCCCCTATAGAGCAATGTTGTGAACATCAGCAACTGAACTGGTATGAACCTTGACTAAGTGAGGCCCAAGATAGTTGTTTGGAATTGAGTGCTGCTAGGTTATCTAGCATTCTCTTCAGCTTCCTTTTCCTCTTCCATGAGCTGGACAATAGATTACCGAAAATCTCTCTCACTGAGTTCCAGGCCAATAAGAGACCCTGTCTTAAAGAAATGAGGTGGATGGTCTCTGAGGAATGACATCTGAGGTTGACTTCTGGTCTCCATATACATGTGCACACATGTGCATATGTACCAATACATACACAGGGAAACACACACACACACACACACACACACGCACACACACACAGATGCAGTGACCCTGTGGGCACATTGAATTCACCAATATACTATAAAACAATCTTTCAGTTTCTCTCCTTACCCTAATTATACCTGCAAAACTCAGTACTTTTATATAAGGCAGTATATTTGCAGATTCTAGGGATCTGGGTGCAGACATCTTTGGGAGCAGAGGTATTTTCTGTTTTCCACAAGTGGGGGTTGGGCTTTGTAAGGCAGGAAGAAAATTACATCTTTGGAAGAATTTTCATTTTATTTTATATTTATTT